GACGCCAGCGCGGCAGCCACAATAATGGCTCGTCCAGCCCTACGAGCAGTTACTACCACGCGACGCGGCTGACGATCGGGACGGGCTCGGGACATGGCTCGAGCCAGGCCAAGCAAACCATCACCACGTCGTCCAAGGCGCTCAACGCGTTCCAGGAAGACCCGTATCTGTGCTCGAAGCGGCTGCCGTACTCGTCCATCACGTACAGCCGTATGCTCTCGAAAGGCGCGTTTGGCGAGGTCTGGCTTGGCACGCTCGCCGACACCTCATCACGCACGCGCCTCGTCGCCATCAAGCGGATCCTCGACGCCAAGCGCGCCGACCCCGCGGAGCTCGAGTGCTTTGCCAGCGAGATCCGTCTCATGGCGCTCTTCTCGCACCCCAACATTGTGCACTTTCTCGGTTTTGGCTGGAACACGCTCCAAAACATGTGTGCGGTCACCGAGTACCTCGAGAACGGCGACGTCTCGGCCTACTTGGCGGTCCATTCGAACGTCGCGTTCGACGTCAAGATTTCAATCGGTCTTGGCGTGCTGCATGCGGTCCAGTACCTCCACTCGCTGGACCCGCCCGTGATCCACCGCGATTTGAAGGGTCGGAACGTGCTCTTGAGCGACGCACTCGACGCGAAACTGAGCGACTTTGGCATTTCCCGTCAACGGATCGCCGATGAAACCATGACGGCCGGCGTCGGCACAGCGTTCTGGACCGCCCCCGAAGTGCTCCTCGGCCTCAAGTACGATGCGTCCGTCGATGTCTACTCGTTTGGCGTCATCATGACCGAGCTCGACACGCAGCACGCACCGTACGCTGACATCAAAGGCGTGCCCAGCATGCACATTGTGCAAAAGGTGACGGGCCAAGACGGCGCCGTGACGCCGTTGCGACCGACGTTGACACGTGACGCGCCCGCGTGGTTTGTGGCGACGGCCACCGCGTGTTTGGACCGAGACCCGGCAAGGCGCCCCACGATCTCGGAGCTGCGCGATCAGTTCGCACAGGCACTTGCGCGCGGATGCGCGATTGTAACTTAATATATTTGATATCGTAGAACCCAGTGGTTATTCTAAGTCTTACTTGTATGGACCCTGGACGAAACGGAATTTCGTGGGGGTAGGGTCCACCGTATGTCGCTGGTTGATATGGTGCTCGTGTCGTCGAGTCGGCAGACAACTCTGTCGACGCGACGATGAGCGTGTGTAGCTGTGTCGTACAGGTGCCATGTGCTGCCCTCATTATTACCTTGGCAGTATAGTTTCGACACATCAAATAGCACTTTTGAACGGCATGTCCAGAACCATCAAGGTATCAAGGGCCGGTGGGTTGCCTTGGCTCAACTTGGACATGACACGATGGTGTCGTCGTTGTTGTTGAAGTGTGTCTATTTAGATATAATTTACACTGAACTGGATATGGTGTGGACTAGCGATTCCAAGGTGCTACGACGAGCCGGCGGCCGAGAGGCTTTGCCGACCGGAAATGTGGCGTGTAAACGGCACATGCCGGAACAAAGTTGTCGCGTAGCCATGCGTCGTGACGCAGGGCTGCCGTCATTTGGTGATGGCGTCGTCGTTCTCGTGGCCTGCTATAGATCCCGGTAACGGTCGGCTCGGTCGTTGCGTCGTACAAGACGTGTGGTATGGTATGGGTCGTCCGCAGTGGTATTACGTACACTACACAGCCCTCTCAACGTCCCTTCGGAAATGACCCAAGGTGGCATGTACGTACAGTACACCGGTGCACCGAAGAATTCTCCTGGACCGATACTCCTACGCCACCACTCGATGGATGCGCGAGCGAGAAGGAGACAGCGAGGTCAAGGATGACAGGCCAGCGCAGCTCTCCGGCTTGGAGATGGCAGAAGGCGCCAGTTGCAACAGCCTGGGACGGGCCCATCGTCCGCTGCGCACCACCCAATTCGTGTGGTCATAATGTCTCTTCCGATAGCGTGTGCATTAGTCGATTCCTAAACGGCATGACAAGTTGTCGTCTTCTCCGGACAGTCCTCGCCGTTGAATCGAGCGGGTTTGTCGCTCCTGGATTCTGTTTTCGGGCCATGTTCTATGGATCTTGTGGCCAATGAAAACGCCGGTAAAGGGAATCTGCGCATATGATTGGACGTTCGTTTTTTACAAATGCCAGAACAAACGACAGAAAGGCCGCCATTCGGCAATCCGCCATGGCCACGACATGGCTCGAGAGCGCCGACCTCGTGGCCAAGATCCAAGCCATCAAGGCCGCCAATGTCTCGGACGCCAACATGTGGAACCCCGAGACGCCGCCGCCCTCTGTGGCCTCGCGCCTCGCGGCCTTGTCACTGAATTGGGCCGACCTCGGCAACGCCGACAAGCAAGCCTTGCTCTGGGACATGGGCTTCGTGCGCACGACGACCGCCGAGAACAACCAAGTCACGCAAGTCTACACCAAGTGCAGCGACAGCGGCAGAGGCGACAGCATGGCGACGATTGCCCTCTCCAAAGCAGCGTTTCTGCAGTCGCAGGCCGACGCGACGGTCCGCACGTGCACGTCGTCGACCATCAACACGACGTACGTCCGACAAGAAAACTCGAACGGCGGCAAGCTCGCGCCCTGGACCAAGTGCATGAGACCTCAAGAGCAAGAACGTACTCATGGCCGCGGGCTGTGAGGCCAAATTGAGCGACTTTGGCATCTCGCGCGAGCGCACGCTGGACGAGACGATGACGGCGGGCGTCGGCACGATCTTTTGGACGGCGCCCGAGGTGCTCTTGGGCGAGCACTACTCGGAGATGGCCGACATTTACTCGTTTGGCGTCGTGCTCTGCGAGATTGACACACGCGAAGCCCCGTACCCGAATATGAAGGCTATGCCCCAGGTCACGGTGGTGCACCGCATCACGAACGAGGGCCTTCGCCCTGCGTTTTCAGAGACATGTCCGGCGCAGCTCCAGGCCATTGCCGACCGCTGCCTCGACGCAGACCCGACCATGCGACCGAGCGCGAGAGAGCTCGTTACGATCCTGTCGGAGTGGCGATAGATGGAAAATGAATAGACGTAGTGTTGTTTGTAGGACCAACTCTGTGGAGGACAATTTGATGTACAGTGTACCTTCCCACATTGGCATGCCTCAGAACTGCGCGTAGTCGCCATACGTACTAGCCAGGACGTCAGTGAGAGCCTACCTGGTGGACAGACCAGACAGCACACGAAATGTATCGTTTATTGTCCGGCTCTGGCCAACCCTAGCCCCAGCCACCTCAGCCGGTGTACATCGAATGACGGTTCTTGTCCTCGAATCCTCCAACACAACAGTCAAGACAACGCAGACTGCGACTCGACCATGTCCGTCAAACGAGGCGCGTCATTGATGACACCGCGCGTACAATGAGACGTTATGGCTGCATCAACACGCAGCCCGAGCCGCGGTGGTAGCGCAGAATCTTGGTGAGCTCAGCGGCGACCTCGGACGCAGTGGGGCGCTCGTCAGGCTCGGACAGAAGGCACTCGTCTGCGAGCTTGCGAATGTCAACGGGGCAGTGCCCCGTGAAGGACGGTCGCAGGCCTGTGGTGACGACGCGAGAGGCAATTGTTGCGGCCGGCAGCGGCACATCGGCGTACGGTCGTCTGTGCGTATCTTCACGATAGAGTATGAGGCAAGAATGCGAGATCGCATTCAAGCGCGCGCGTACCGAGTTCGGCAAAGACGCAACCCAGCGCGTACATATCGGCCGCCGACGAATAGGCCTCGCCGCGGACGACCTCTGGCGCGGTCCAATACGTCACGTCGGGCTTGGCGACGTGGTTCGTGAGTCTGAAATTCGCGAGCTTGGCGTGTTCGTGCGACATGAGCAGGATATGGCGGCTCCGGAGGCGCGGTGCCAACACGCTGCGGTCGTGGAGGTAGTGCAGTCCCTGGGCGACGTCCAAGGCGACGCTCATCTTGGCCTCCCAGAACCAGCCCATTTGGTCCCGCAAGAACGCTTCAAGGGTCCCGAACGGAAGGCACTCGGCGACGACACAGAGACTACCCTTGTCGTTCGGGTCGTAGCCAAAACCGAGAAACGCCACAATGTTGCGGTGCTTCAACGTGCTCTGCAGCGAGATAGTTTGAACAAAGGCATCCAGATTGACGTCGTTCTCAGCGTACTTGACAACCACCGATTGGTGGTGCAGGGTGCCGGCCACCACAGACGTCGAGAGCTGGGTTGTCGCGACGAAGCCCGTCATGTCGACGCGCAGCGCTGACGCGTCGTCGAGCACCGTGTGCGTACTCCAGGCGACACAGAGGATGCTCCGAGGCGTCTCCAGCGCGCGGTAGTTGTGCGGCATTAACTCGATCGTGTCGCCGCGGGTCGTTGCGTACGAGATCGGCGGCGGCTCGAACGGCTCGAACTGAATCTCGCTGCGGCGCGTGCGACGGCGGTAGACCAGGATCAGCAAGATGGCGAGGATGAGACCACCGACGACTCCGGCAATCGCGCCAATGAGCACGGCCGACGACCTGTCCTCGGTCGTCGTCACGGACGCCGGGCGTGCGGGCGACGGGTCAGGAATGATATGCGCGGTCGCCGAGGTCGGGTTGGCGTACGCTTTGAGCCACGACGTCATGGCGGGCGAGAGCGCTCTTGGTTCGCAAAAGGACGCTGTTCGACTGCTGTACACGACGCAAGGAATCGTAAGCGCGCTGCGCTGCTTCTGGGCTTCGTCCGGGCAGTTGCCCCACGCCGCTTCGCGTCCATAGGCTTTCGGGAGCGAGTGGATCGCGAGGATGACCCACGACTGCCCCACTGCTGGTGCGACCAGACGCGGGGCTCGGGCACGTCGCTCGCGCCAAGTGCATCTTGGGCGTACATGGCCGATTGGCCGTCGGGGACGCCGGACGCGTCGATCGCACAGCGGATCGCGGGCATGAGGCCCGGGCCCGACGCAACGTACTGTCGCGTGTAGTTGGTGTACGCAGCGGACGGACAGATCTGTGGCGATGTGCCTTCCAGCGAGAGAAACGCCGCCGGCGGAAAGAAGAGGTTGTCCATCGACGCCGAACAAAGCGGGTAGACTTGCACGAGCTTCTCGGCGCCGTTGACGGTGGCGATGACGAGGCCGAGGTCCCAGAGCATTGCTTGCTGCAATAGCGTCGGAAGGCTGTCCCATTTGAGCATAAAGGGTGTGAGCTGCGCGAGTACCTTGGGATGGGACAGCGTCGACACGCTCGAGACGGCGTTGGCCTTGTACAGCGCCTGGAAGCGACTCACAAAGTCGGAGCTGTCAGCCATCGCAGAGACCATCGGAGCCGAAAATGCCTCTACGGTCCGTCGGATTCCAAGCGCACGTCTTGATTGGTCAGCCTATGCTCAGGAGAAGAGATCCAACAACCTCCTCCACAACCTTGTGCAATGTTGCCAACTAGATTGTACCGAATGATTACTGGCCATCTTGCAGGGCACAGGACGAGCCCGATCTCAGCCAGACAGTTCAGCCAGACAGTTCAGCCAGACAATGTAATCTTCACATGCAGCGCCATGGATCTGGAAGACGTCGTTGGTACATAGCTTGCTGTCTTGTGTGTGTTTGCCTTCTCGATCTCCGAGCTAGAAAGTGCAATCTCATTTCGAAGTTCGAAGTCAATTTGACACGCAAAAAACGAAGTTCAAATCCACTTCGAGGCCGTCTAGGATTGGCTTGATGGGGCTGCAGTGGGCAGAGGCTGTCGTGGCGGCCGAGTATGCGGCTGCGCTTGGCGCGTGCATCTACTCGCTTCGGGCGTGGCCCATGACGACGCCGATGCGGCTTGCACCGCCACGATACCCGCGTGTGCTCCTTGCATGGCGCGTGGCCTGCCTCGTGCTCTACAGCATCACGCTGGCTATCGACCTCTATACGTCATGCGGCGCGTCGCTGGCCTACTTTACGGCGTGGAACTTCACGCTCCAGCTGGCATACTTTGCGTGGACTGTCAAGGGCAGCGTGCAGCCGCGCGGCGACGACGTCCACTTGGATCTGCTCTTTGACGTGTGCATAACGTCGGCGCTGTTTGTGGCCTTTGTCTTCTGGACCCTGCTCGCGACTCCCGACGCCTTGTATGAACCCGTGTCTATCACTGAGCACAGCGTCAACGTTATCTGCTTGGCCGTCGAGTTCGCTCTCAACGACCGCGTCGTCAACCCTCGGCATGGCTCGCTCGTCGCGCTCTGGCCACTGCTCTACGGCATTTTTACATGGATGAGCCACAATAGTGTCATCCCAGGCGGTGGGTGGCCGTACGATTTCATGGTCGCGGACCAGCCGACCGCGCCGCTTTGGTACCTCGGCATCTTTCTTCTTCAAGTGGCGTTCTTCTTGCTGTGTCTTGTCGTCAGCCGCCTCAAGCGACATCTGCTCGAGAACCGAAGCGACGACGACAAGCAATGCACCTCGTACGGCTCCGTGTAGACACTAGATGATCTAGTTTTGTGCTTAGCCAACAATCCGATCATGATGCGGCAATGTAAATCCTTTTTGACCCGCGTTGTGTCTGGTACGCACGCTGGCTTGCGTGCAGCTACACTGTAGCACGAGTCGTCGACCACCGCAGCAGCGCCCCAAAACCGCCGCCAGTTGCCCATCGCCGCGCGGTTGCACCGCTGCCGCGCCGTCCACAGCATATCTCGTCATCGAGCTGGTGTGCATGAGGAAGGTCGAGAAGGCGACTCTCTTTGTAGAACTTACGATAAATTGTCGAGAGCAAGATCGATTGCATCCCAACATTAACATTGCGAAGATCCGACTTCTTGCTTGTCCTTATGTCCAGCCTCCTCTGCGCAACGAAACTGGCCACTAGAGAGTTTTGGGTGCCCCGCATCGTGGCATTGTGGCTCCCAGACGGCTGCCTTACGCCAGGAGCACTACGCCGGGGCGTGATGTCGGCAATCAAATCTGGACGCCGCGCAAGACATTATGCCTATCAGTGCGTTCCATCCTTGCAGCCGCGTCGGTGCATACACCGTACGACTGCGGTATCCGAGCTCCGAGCTTGTACGACGGTACGGTACGGGGGAAGATGACTGGCAGTGGACGCGAAATTTCGATCTTCTCGCCGGTGGCACATCCACGTCCGCAAAGCTCCAGCGGTAGCCAATCAAAACGCCGCAAGATCCATACGCCCCATTGATTGGCTCGATTTGCCAGAAAGTCCGCCATCGCAGGCGAGACAGAATCCAATTGGCATGTCGACCAACTCGTGGCTCGAGAGCGCGGACCTCGTCACCAAGTACCAAGCGCTCAACGGGCTTAATGCGACGACAGCGACCAGTATCGGCGCCGCCCCCACCAAGCCCGACGCGGCCGTCATCGTGCGTCTCACCAAGATGAACTTGGTCTGGGATGACCTCCCGCCGCTCGCCAAACTCGCCATTCTCTGGGACATGGGGTTTGTCCAGAACAACCCAACCGTCGACGTAAACGCGCTCAGCCGCATCTACACGCGCTGCGTCGGCTCGGTCGGCGCGTCCATGGCCAGCATCGCGCTCCCCAAAACCGACTTTTTGGCCTCCCAGAGCGACGCGACGACGCGGCCGTGCGACTCGGCGACAACTGGCGTCTACCTCCGGCAAGAAAACTCGAACGGCGGCCGCCTACGTCCGTACACGCGGTGCGCCACGGCCAACGTCACGATGGGCAACATCAAGGACAGCCATAGCAGCATGTGGGCGCAGGACGGCCAAGGCCTCAGCACGTACCCACTGCCCAATTTGCAGCGCCACGCCTGGAACGACAAGGAGTTTTGGCTCATCTTTTCCATCCACACGCAAGAGCTGGCGACCGAGCCGCAGTGGGGCACGTGTCCAGACAAGACGATGACGCCCGGCGGCGCGACGTTTCCGTGCCAAGTGTTTGATGGCAGCGTGCCGCCGCAAGGCTGGTGCGTGCCCTCCAACTCGCAGGCCATGGACGCGTGGCTGAAAACGATTGCAAATCAAAAGATTAGCGCGACGCCTCTACCGTCGTCCAATACGCCCGCCGCGTCGTCGTCAACGACGCCGGCATCTACCGGTCTCTCGACGATTGCGATCCTCGGTATCGGTATCGGAGCTGGGGTGCTTCTTGCCCTTGGCATTTGGTGTTGTGTCGCGCGCCGGCGCAGACAAGCCACGCCCGATGCGCCTGGCTACGTCGAGTTGCGCCCGAGAGACGGTCGGTACTCGGTGACCACCTCGACGCAGCCGACGCAGACCCGGACCGGGTCGTACCAGCCGATCACAACCGCCTCGCACACGCTCAATGAGTTTCAGCGCGACCCGTCGCTGAGTCAGAAGCGGCTACCGTACTCGTCCGTTGTCTGCTCTCGGCTTCTCTCGAAAGGCGCGTTTGGCGAGGTCTGGCTCGGCTCGTTCAACGGCCAAGTCGTCGCCGTCAAGCGCCTTCTCGACTCGAAGCGGACGTCCGAAGCCGAGATTGAGGCGTTCGCTGACGAAATTCGGCTCATGGCGTCCTTTACCCACCCCAACATTGTGCGTTTTGTTGGCTTTGCGTGGGACTCGCTCCAGAACCTCTGCGCGGTCACCGAGTACATGCCCCAAGGCGACCTCCACACGTATCTGCAGTCGCACTTGCAGCTCCAGTGGCGGCGCCACGAAAAGATCAAGATCGCGCTTGGCATCGCCCACGCCCTTGCCTACCTGCACAGCCTCTCGCCCACCATCATCCACCGCGACCTCAAGAGCAAGAACGTACTCATGGCCGCGGGCTGCGAGGCCAAATTGAGCGACTTTGGCATCTCGCGCGAGCGCACGCTGGACGAGACGATGACGGCGGGCGTCGGCACGATCTTTTGGACGGCGCCCGAGGTGCTCTTGGGCGAGCACTACTCGGAGATGGCCGACATTTACTCGTTTGGCGTCGTGCTCTGCGAGATGGACACGCACGGGCCACCATTAGCAGACTGCAAAGGCCTTCCGCAAGCCACCATGATCCACCGCATCACGAACGAAGGCCTTCGACCGTCTCTGACACCGACGTGTCCGCAGCACGTGCAAGCACTTGCCGCTCGGTGCATGGCCCGGGACCCAAAGAACCGACCAGCGTCGTACGAGCTGATTGCGATCTTGCAGCGTTGGAGCGAGTCGAGTCTGTCCTTGCCGCAACCGCACTCGGGCGAAATCGTCTTGTAGAGTTAGAGACGAGTGGCTGCAACTACAAGAGAACGGCGCTTGGCCGTGTAGCGAGGAGAAGGGCGAGAGCAATATGTCGCGTGGCGACAGTGCACTCAGCACAACTACGCCGCGTCAAACATTATACTAGTACATATCAAATCAATGCACACGCCACTGTACATGTTTGTGCCCTTCGCCTTGTTTTGTGGCTTGTAGACACTTGGTAGTTCTAGACTTGACAATAAGACGACGCAAATTTCTTATTGGGGTGCACTAGTACGCGTACAGCGACACGCCACGTCACGGGAGAGCGCCATCGTGGTACCTTGCTAGGTGCTAGTACGTCGCGGTGTACTTGATTGTAGGTTTTTTGTATGTGAAACCCGCTAGCAGTGCGCGAGTGTTGTGTGTATCGAGGTTTCGCATTGCATGGCGGGCCGATTTGATACATTGAAAGAATTAGTGGTGATGATTAGGGTTTTGCCTAGATCGCACAGAACCCATTTTCTGGGACGCGTAAAAAACTTATGAACAACGAACCGATGGAGGTCGTAGTACCCCAGGGCATCGACACCCTTAGTTTGATCACGACCAAGAGACGATCAATTCCCTTGGCAACACAAAGACATCACACGCACATATGAGCGTGTCAACACTATTTAGTCAATTATGACCTAATCCGACTCGATTATCATCGACAACATCAACAGGATTTTGTTTCCAAAAGAGTGGACAAGCTATGGCAACGATTACAGAATGCGTGCTGCGCCAACCCGGAATCGTACCGATGTTTTTTGAGTTTCAGATTGCTTCCGTCTCACGCAGCGGTGCCTTTCTGGTCCTGTCCTCCGCAGCTTGGCCGGCATCCCGGCCACCTGCGCGATAAGCGAATCCTTCGGCTCCTAAAGGGCTGCACCGAAATGGGACCCGCCCGCCAGATAAGGACGCTGCATCGCCTGCTCGACAATGATATCATCATCGCCCCATCTTTCGAGAAGCGCCGAGAGTCCAAGACGCGAACCTTTGGTCGACCGAGGCGATTGTTGTCTCTTGTCCATACGCTGGTGCAGCAAAACTTTGGAGACCCCTCGACGCCGCGCTCAGAGCTGATATGCACGAAGAACTTGATGTCGATATCTTTCAAACGTTCTACAGTAGGACCACGAGCTTGCTTCTAAACCCGTCGAAAGTCACTCGGTTGGCACTTGGATCCAAGCGCCGTCAAGACAATCGCACAATGTAGTGAGTGCTTTGGAACCGGATGTCCAAGTCTATCACATTGCATGAGCTTCAGAGAGGTGTATCGTTGACTACCAGTAAGCTGGAGGATACTAAATTCAGCTGCTCGCTTGCGGAGGTGGCGCATCCGTGGCATCAAGCGTCGCGATTAGCTACCGTCTCGATGCCAGCTCGAGTTGTTTGGACTGGCAGCGCTATTCATTGGCTGATTGCAGCCAATCCTGAGGCGTATGTGGCTGAAATGCTTTTCATTGGTAGATTTTCAGCGAGTTGCGTTAAAGAAGCCAACAACGAATCTGTGCTTGAAGAATCTTGCAGCGTCGGTAGGGTACAGGCGAATACGATGGTGGGATTGAGAGCAAACGAAGCGATCGATGGGCTCCACGGCAAGGTACTCACTCGTTCTTTACTCTCTCTTGGTCTCGTGGTCGTCCTTTGACGAACAACCACAAACCTGTCCAGAAACTCAGACACTAGAACGAATTTCTACCAATCCGCGTCGCGTCCGCTCGAGATTCAACCAGCTGTCGACCAATGGCTTTCGTTCTCAGCCCATAATTCTAGCCAATCCGCGTGCCGTGTTTCGTGCGTCCGTTGTGACAACTTCAACCTGATACAAAGACACGGCTGCCGACGGCGGCGCTCGGAGGCTCTTGACTTCGTAGCTTGCTATGATAATGCGCCATCCTTTCCAAAGGCCGCGTGAGACTCCACTACGGTAGCAGGTAGCCAACGAAATCGCATGCGATGTGGGCTCCACTGGACCTTCCCGCCAACGTGCCCATCCACAGCGACGACACCCAAGCATCGGAGTCGTTCGGGTCAGACATCGACTGCGACAGTCCTGACGCCGTGCTCAAGAGTTGGAGGAGCAGTACAGTGTGCGTCCCGGCCTGGTTCGGAGGCAATCCGAAAACTCAGTTTGCTTGGACTTGAAGACGAACGCCGTCTTCTCCCCTTCGCTCGAAGTAGCCACCCGCCCTTCGAACTGGCCCCCAATTTACGGTACAGGGCGTTGGACAGCCCAACGCCGTCGAGTCGCGCGGTGACATTCCAAATTCCGTTCTTAGCAGCGTTGGCGAAGGTCATTCGTGCGTGGACTATTGCTCGAGATATCTATCCAGTTGCGACGCCAAGCGGCCTTCAGGTGGCGTGGCTTGCAACATTCCGCCACCACGTGGCTCTGTCCGTTCTCTTCCCGAGACGTTTGATTGGTCAAAATAGCCAAGATACGGAAACCACGCGCTTTGATTGGGTAAAAATACTCACCCAACACTCCAGTGCCGGCCACGGTTTCTATGTCTCACTCTTCGCCAGCGCTCCATCATTCGACGACAGCAATGGTGCTCCTCTGCCAGCAGCCGACGCGCCGGCGCCCGACACCCGACCGGCCACGCAAGCAGGCCGACCACGAGAACGAGGCCCTCGTGACCTTTGCGCGCAGCCCGGTCTCGATCTACGCAGCGCTCGTGTCCATCTCGCTCCAGCACGCGCTCTATGACCAGTTCGCTGCCTTTCGCTGGCCAACGTTCGCCGAGATGTACGCGATGGGCGTCGAGCTCGGCGCCGGCGCCACGTCGGTCGTCATGGAAGCGCTGCACCGCAAGACAGGCGCGCCGTTCGCGGTCAAGCTCATCAGCAAGGGCCGCGCGACCTGCCTCGGCATGAAGGACCACCGCAGCGAGATTGCGTGCCTCCGGACGCTCCACCACCCCCACATTGTGAACCTCGTCGACTACTTTGACGAAGACGACGCAGCGTACGTCGTGCTCGAGCTCGTGCCGGGCGGCGAGCTCTTTCTCTACATGCTCGAGCACGGACCGTGCACGGAGGCCGAGACCAAGCACATCATCAAGCAGCTCTTGGCGGCGGTCATCTACTGCCACGAGCACAACATTGTGCATCGCGACATCAAGCCCGAAAACATCCTGTTCACACGCGACCCGGATTCGGGCGCCGTCACGATCAAGCTCGCCGACTTTGGGTTTGCGACCAGCGTCCGCGGCGACACGCTCTCGCGGCGCTGCGGCACCCAGCGCTACATGGCGCCCGAGATGCTGAAAGGCCAGACGTACGGCACGTCGGTCGACGTCTGGAGCATTGGCATCATTACGTTCTGCCTCCTCTGCGGGTTTTTCCCCGAAATCGACGACGCCGGCAACGTCCAGTTTGACGGCCACATCTCGCTCTCGCCCGCCGCAATCGAGTGCGTCGAGGAGATGCTCACGATGGAGCCGACGATGCGGTCGACGGCCAAGGAGGTCCTCTCGCACCCGTGGTTCTCCAACCAGCCGCCACGCTCGACCGGCCGGAAGCGCACGGTCGACATGTTTGAGACCTTTGGCCTCTTCATCACCGACATGCTCCAATTCGTTGCGTTTTGCCAGACACTCGAGTTTGGTGCCAAGACGCAGCAGACGCTCGAGACGGCTAATGACGGCCTCGGCATGATCCAGTTGTACCTCTCGACCGAGCCGTCGACGATCTCGAGCATGTTTACGTTCCTCAGCAACGTGGTCGGGTCGCTCGTCGACGATATCTCGAGCGAAGAGCCCGACTTGATTCCCGTTGCCAAGCAGCTCCAGCGCACGTACGAAGCGCTCCGGCTCCAGCTCGTGCCCAACTGCCCCACGAGCCACACGCTCATGGCGTGTATATGATGCTACCCCGATGGTCCGTCGTGTTGCAAATCGAATGCAGCAACCACGCTGACAACACGGCGCCGCGTCGTCGTCTCTGTCCCTTGTGCCGTCTCTGTTTTTATTAATTTAATAGCCCTTTTTGACTCTTGCTTTGCTGACAATTGGTCTGCCCTGGTAGTACCAATGGTTTCGTTCCAGGGGTCGGTAGAGGTCGCCGAATGTAATAGTGTCTGCCTGTCGCTGGACCTGACGTCAGCGCCGTGTCACATGGAGCAGTACCGTACTGGTGACGTGTGCGATTGACGGTCACAAGACGAGTCGCGTGCTACTTGGAGGTGGAGAAGGGCCTGCAAGACTGCAATTGTCCATTATTGTCAACTAAAACTAAATTGGGATGATTTAAAAGCGTCGTCAAATATGTGACGCGTCGACCGTCGACACACAAGTCGCATTAAAGTCGCACACGCATGGAATACGTGCTTCAAGCTACAGTACAACTACGGTATGCACAGGTACGTACACTGCGAGCATGAGAGCTTTGGAAGATTGGACACATTGTCCTCTTCCTCTCCTTGGTGAGTCGTTGCAAGATGGATTTATCTGTACAGCTCTCTCCCAACGACCACGTGCCTACCATTCGATGCGGCGCTACGTGTGCACAGTTGATGAGCTGCTTTTGCTAAATTGATGCCAACGCCGACATGTTTGAATGCTTCAAGGATTGGTAAATCGATTGTCCTCTTGTTGATGGTCTGCTGTGAATTCTTGGTCCCATTTCGTCGCCACCAAACGTTTCAGATTCAGAAACCAGGGTTGGGGTTGGCACAACCCTAGCCCTCCATCTGGGACCGCAAGCGCCTGTTCGTGTCGGTCGATTGACACAATATATTGACACCAACTATAGACGTTTCTATCACGACTAGACAAAACAGCACTAACTAGAAACACAAGGACGTGGCCAGTGAGTCAATGACGAATACGTACCTAACGTTAGATAAAATGGTTGGCGTTGTCGTGGCCCATCGCCGAGGCGTGCATCGTCTGCGCAAGCATACGCGACTCCTTCTGCACCAAGAGCACTACTATGCATTCAGCTGCTATGCACTTGACAATACATATCGAAACGGAGAGTGCGCTGTCGGCACGAATATGTTTATATTAATACATGCCAGGACGCTTCCTAACGTGGGCCGTTCGTGCCATCGTCCCTCCGAGAGGCTCGTTACCACTTGACGGGTCGCTTGGTGTGTTGTGCTGTGCACAGCGCTCGATTCGTCGGACGAAAGCTTGTTGACGACTCGATGCTTGCCATTCGGAGAGGCAGGGCGGGCTGGAGCGAGAAGCCTCCAGACGACATGACTGCCTCGCAAACGATCGATTCGCTGGGCTCATCGGTCAGTAGACACTCTACTTGAGGCACTGATCATGTGGTATCTATCGGCTTTTTGGTGCCCGCGATATTGCATATTGGTCCAGACAGCGCACTGTACAATAGTACATATATATTGACGGCGAAACCGGCGTGGCTGTATAAGATCCGCCATCAACCGGGCGCGTCACGAGTACCTGGCCATGGAAAACGACGGCGACGTCGTCGTGGACGCACCAGTTGACATCACCGACAACAACCATGGGGACGAGCTAAACCTCGAGGTGACTCCCGAGTTTGCACCGCGCTTGGAGCCCCTGCACCAGCAGCAAGCGTCCGAAGAAGACACGGCCAAAGGCGCTCAGCTCTGCGCGGCGTCGAAAGAAGGTGCGATGGAAACCGTGCGCAAGCTCGTGCTCGACAATGCGCCCGTCGGATTTGTGACGACGTCGGGCTGGACGCCGCTGGCGTTTGCTTGCTTCAACGGACGCCTCGAGGTTGACGACCATTCTCCATATCGTCGCCGCATGTCTGTCGACTGAAATCTCTAGGTGGTGCAGTACTTTCTCGATCTGGGGGCTGCCGACACGTACAAGCAGGCGCCAATCACGACTGGCGAGAAGCGCAAGCCGGCGCAAGTCAACACGCCGCTGCACTGGGCCATCTACAAGGGCCACCCGATGGTCGTGTACACGCTCGTGACAAACGGCTTTTCGATTGAAGACGCCGACTCGTGCGGCAACCGCGCGTTGCACCTCGCTTGCTCCAATGGCACGTTCGCCATCATTGAAGTTGACCCATATATCTCCAACCCTTTTCGATTGACGACTTGTGCATAGATCATCTTGTCGCACGCGCCCGATCTCGCGGCCAAGAACGTGTATGGCAACACGCCGATGGACCTCACGACGGACGGCGCGGTCCGCAAGCTACTGAAGAAGATGCAAACGCAAACGATGTGCGACGAGTGCCACGACGTGTTTTCGCGCAGCCGCCGTGGTACGTTGTGTCAGCAGTGCCACAACCTTGTCTGCAACACTGGTTCGTGCTCGTCGAGGTAGGATTCCCCGCTGTCTTCGGCTACTGTAGTAGACTACATTGGAATGGCATAGCCTCGAGATGCCGTGGGGAACGACCGACAAGAGCGTGCGCCGCGTGCGCTACTGTCGCGCGTGCGTCCAGGCGCTTGCGCAGGTCGAAGCCGACCTCGAGCAGGTGCTGACCTCGAAGCGCTTGGCGGTCGCCGAAGCGATGTCGCCGCTCGCGGCGCTTGAGGCGTCGTTGGCCACCTTTACGCCTGCCCCCGTACGAGCGCGAGTGCCTTGGATCGAAAAAATTCAAGTCGTGTGCTGTAGAAGCCAGGCACGCCCGTGGACACCGAGGCGCTGGTCGGTGTCGAGCAGCCACCGCCGACGCCGATTTCAAAAGGCGCGCTCGTCAAGCAACTGCTTGCGCTGCTCTTGAGTCTCGAGAGCAACGATGCTGATGTCGAGGCGCTGCAGACGGCGATTGATGCGGCCGCAGAAAAGAAGGCGAATGCGTGGCTGCTCCAAGACGCCCGCGCCACGTACGAACAGCACATTGCGCACATCAAGCTCATCCAAGAAATCAAAGCCGTCTTGGCCACCCGGTACAAGCTGTCCATCTTGCTTCGGCTGAGCTCAATAATGTCGATGCATGAGCAGGCCGATTAGCACGCGATCGCTGGTCGCGGCACTCCGCCGGGTGTGGCGCCAAGCGCAGGTCGAGGGCGTCGAAGGCGCACTCGTGCAAGCCGCGCAACGCGTCATTGTATTGGCCGAGTCAGAAGCGAGCTTGTACGGCGCGTACATGCTCTGTGCCCGCATCCAAGTCGGGTCGGCGCAGTTCAACAACGACTTCGTGCGCCTGAACCACTGCTTGACCATGGTCGAAGACTACGGCGTCAGCGACACCTTGCTGCGCAACGCGTGGGGCTTGCGCGACCGCCTTAGCGCCGAGGTAGCGTGCTGCGTCCGTCCCGTGCGATGCAATTTTGGGTCGTAGATGACGCTGGAAGCGGCCCTCTTTCCATTTGAAGAGCGCATGGATGGGCTCACCAACCAGTCCCAGTACGTCTTTCACGACGGCAAGATCGCGGCCAGTCTCCTTGAGGCCCTCACGCTACGGAACCAGACGCTTACGGTCGCCGTGGTGCGTCGACGAGGATGCTCTGAGGAAGCATCCATTGATTGAAATTGCGTAGGAAGTCGCTGCCAAGGTCGAGGAGGCAACGCCCGTCGCGTCGCACCTCGTGGAGAAGGCCAAGGAGTTTCTCGTCAAGCTGAAAAAGGACATTAAAGAAGAGCAAAAGGTAGACTTGAACCCAGAGAGGCATGCGACAAGGACATGGGTACGTAGAAGGAAGACGAACGTCGACGCATTGCCGAAGAAGAGGCGCTCAAGGCCGCCAAGAAGGGCAAGAAGGGCAAGAAGGGCGGGAAGAAATAATGAAATGGACCTCGCGTCCTATGGTGTACAAACGCCCGTGCCATGAGAGTCAAGTCGTTGGAGGCTCTTCGCGGACATAGGGTCTGGGATTTGCACGGGGACACAGGCTACTTGGTCATGGTCCTTGTCGGAAACGAAGCAGCGCCAGCACACATGCGACGTCGTCCTCGAGGGCATAGCGAGAGTCGGGCCGGGGGTCAGACTTGGTCTCAAGTGCTCGTTTGCGGTAGGTGGGCGCGCCACTTCGGCCCTACTCGCTGTAGGGGCCACCAGAAATGTGTGTAGCGCAGGCAAACAAGGCGGCGGCGAACGCAGAACGAAGACAACAAGAGAAAGGATTCGGGGTGTGGATTCAAAAGAAACAGCTTGCGTAATACCTTAGGACTCGATATATTCGATCGGAGCAAACTTAGACAATCGAACCGGCGTTGGCGGCGATACGGGGCCAGAGGTCGGCGCATTCCTTGCCGACCGGGCCAGTGATGGCCGAGCCCTTCATTTCACCCTTGGGGTTGACGATGCAGGCGGCGTTGTCCTCGAAGTAGAGGAAGATGCCGTCGCGGCGGCGCCACGACTTGCGCTGGCGGATGACGACAGCGGGCATGACCTTCTTACGGAGCTCCGGCTTACCCTTCTTGACCGAGCACAAGCACATGTCACCGACACCGGCAGCGGGGAGACGGTTCAGGCGACCCTTGATACCGCACACGGCGATGATCAAGAGGGCCTTACCACCCGAGTTATCGGCGCAGTTCATGACGGCGCCAACGGGCAGACCGAGGGTCATACGGAACTTTTGACCCGACACACCAGCGCGACCTATCCAGTGGCATCGTTATTCGCCGTTCCCTGCTGTGATGCGCCATGAGGGCACGAGGGCGTCCTAGGCAAGTCGACACGGCGCATCCAGCGCCGCTGCTTGCTTGCGACGTCCTCGTCGCCATGGTCGTCATCGTCGTCATCATCATGCAACATACCAGAGCTCATCTTTGTTTCTTGAGAGAATCACAACTAAAAACCTCGTCGCCATAGCGGGCAGGCGCAAACCATTGGCTGTCGCCTCCACTCCTTTTCCTCCACCAATGAATGGCACCCTCGCTACAAGAACACTCCGAGATTACAAGCACTTATTGTCCGGATACCGCCGCATACGCACACTATTTCCGACATACTGCGCGGTCCGCAGTTGCTTGCTGACCTAGTACAGGAGCAGGAGCGGACGAAGACGAGGATGGCAGGACACTGCATCCTGATGGCGATGCGACCGCGAGCCCACCGACAGCCATGCTAGCTTCCTATGCAACAGGCCACAGCACCTCTTCTGCACAGTCGGCGATGCTGGCGTGCTCTACCAGATAGTACGATCCAGGTCCGACGACGGCGACGAGCCCGCCCATCCCTGCCTCGAGCGAAGCTATGCTAGTATACTAGTTGGCCTCGTAGAGGAGGCTGTATCGTGCTGTGTGGGTACTGAAGTGCGTCGACTGCGATGATCTTGCTGCAGCAAGGAGTTTGGGCTGGACAGCGCTGGTTGCTCGAACCTGCGTCGCATACATTGCCCGTCTTGCATGCTACGAGCCAATACGCGATTGATCCTAGCATCCCGTGATTAGTGCCAATAGCATCAAGGGGCTAGCTGGGTGTATTGGCACTAGTAGACATGGCTTCTCAAGCGACCATTTGAAGCGCTCGGGCATGGAGTATGTCATGTGCTATGCCAGTTCGGTAGCTTCTGTTCTTGATCGACGCGACTAGGACTAGACACCTAACAAGATGATGCTAGAAGCTAGCAATTTCTATGTTTGCTTTGTTGCCACCATCTTGACAGCCTCATGCTGCTGCGCCAGGATAGCGCCGTGCAGGTCAGCAGTCAATTGGCCATTCTTGGTAGCCAATTGCTGTCGTCGCACACTATTTTCTGTCGTAGAGCAATAGCGGGATGGACCCAGAGCGCAAGGCGGCGATCCGGCAGCTCGTCGTCGCGGCCGCCAAGGCCAAGTTCCAGGCGAGGCGCGACGCAGCCGCGGTGAGCATCGCGCCGTATAGCCCATCACCGATGGCCATGGTTCACGGCGTCTGGGACCGCTTGGCGCCGATGATGTCGGTCTCGGACCACGTCGTCGAGCTCGGGTGTGGCGACGGGCGCTGGATCCTCGAGGGCGTCAAGCGCTTTGGCTGCAGCGCAATGGGCGTCGAGTGGGATCCGCAGGTGGCGCAGCGTGCGAAGGCGCAGGCGGCAACCATCCCGGGCGCGATCGAGATTCGGATCGAAGACATGCTGGCGCCGACCTTTCGCCTTCCGCAGCGCACGTCGCTCGTCATTGTCTACGCATTCGCCGAGACGCTCAACCTGAACGTCAAGGCCCTCCTCGCGCAGTGCGATCCACGGACCAAGGTCCTCTCGGTGGGCGTACGTCGTTGATATCGATATCGTGTCTGGTGCAACGCATCACTTATCATAGCGTAGTTCCGCGTGCACGGGTGGCAGCCGCAATGGACACTGCGCTTTAATGGACTCAACTGCTACTACTACGAACTCGCAGGCCACGACGCCGGTATCGGCGACTCTAAGCGGTGAATCAACTGCATGTTTTCACGCCGCAGCGCCGCCATCCTACCACCGATAGATACATAGCAGGTCGATGGCGGCACAAATGTAGTACCGTTGGGAGAGAGAGCTCGCGTCCTTTTGCGCTTCGAGCTTGCGCTCCTCCTCGTCGGCGAGCCGGTCGTGGGTCTCGCCGAGCTCTCTAGAATCGAGCACATATCGTCTATATATAAAGGACACACAACGCTTCTCGACGCACCGACGCAGCTTGGTCAGGCTGCGCTCCTTGGCTTCCAAAACGCCTTCTTGGTCGCGGAGCATGCCCACCAGCCGCTGCACTTCGCTCGTGAGGGTGCGAATCGTATCCTTGAGACCCTACTGGACATCGTGTCGTCGTCGTCTAGAGAGACACCAGACCTCGGCGCTGAGCGTCAACTGCTCGACAGTCGCCTCGGCCTTGGCACAGCGCGTCGAAAGCACGTGCGTGTCGTTCGCTGTGCGTTGCAGCTGCTGCTTGAGCGTCCAGCTCGCCATGTCGGTGTCGCGCATGCGCTGTTCAGGGCCGCGTGGACGCTCTGGTCGCGGGCCTATGCATCGTCGCTAGACGAGACAATATGTCCACAGTAGAATAATACTTGCGCGGCAAGAGCAGCCTCGCGATCGTTGTGCAGGTCGAGAGTCAATATCCGATTCTCGGCGACCACCGATGTGCGCATCTTGGTTTCCATCTGCATGCACAGTCAGCGGGTTCTCATGTTACTTGTATGGTGCTGCGTATGTACCTGGAGCTGCCCTTGGAGCGTTTGCGTGCATTCGTCCAGCTGCGCGTGCAGTTGGCGGTTCCTACGACCACTTGATGGGGTGCTGGCAAAGCACGTCGTACGCGTGCTGCAGCGTCTCGATCGTCGCCTCGGCGTGTCCCTTGGCAACGTCGACCGCTTGCAATCGCGTGCTCAGGTCGTGGATCGCTTTGCGATTAGTATCCTAGTCACCTCCGCGTTGCGACATGTCGTCGTCATCAATGACACTCTGTACATCGTGAAATTGCATCTGTTGCATCCGGTGGTCCCACTATTCGCGTCGCCCAATTCGACCTCATCCAATCGAAAAGTCAAGAGACGTACGTCATCCTTTTGCGCGGTCCACGCCCGGAGCTGCTGGTCGTACTCGATCTCAAACGCCGTGCGGGCAGCGTCGAGGCCCTTGATGCGAGCGACGAGGTCGTCCAGCTGCCGCGTCAACGCCGACGAGTCGTCTTCGATGCGTTTCCAGTAGTGTTCCCGCTCGCTAGATCCAGATGCCTCAATATGAGTAAGCCAGTCGACGTCTATTTGAATAGCACCGGCACCACGCCATCAAGCTCGCGCGCTCGTCACTTGCGCGTCGCAGCTTTTCGTACTGGGTCTCAACGAGGGCCTGAGAGCGCTAAAGGCTCGTTCGCTGTCGTTCTTTGATACCTGCATCTCGTTTGCTTGGTTTTCCAAGCACGTCTTTTCGATGGCGGCATTGCTTAGCTGCGTTGTCATGTCGGCCACTTGGGCTGCGAGTGTGGACACCTTGTCTTCGTAGTAGGCCTTGAGCTATGGATATCTTCGAGTCAAAACCACCATAGTATACGTGTGTACTTGGTGGAGCTGCTCTGCAAGCGCGTCGTCTGCATCGGGATGCTCGGGCAGCGGGCCCTGGATGCCGCTCACTTGACGGTTCACGACGCGCTTAAAGAGGTTGGTCGGCTCGTTTGCACGTGCTACTTTGTCCTCACCACCGGGTTCTTTGAAGCAGGACACGACGACCGTACGCTTTGGCGTGCTGCGAGACGGGGGCGGGGCTGACTTGGGCGCGTCTTGGCGCAAGCTCTGGCGCAGTCGGCAGATCTCTTGGCGATCCAACACCATAAGATCGTTTCGACGCTATTAGGGCATCCACACCGGTTGGTCTTTAGTCCGAAGTCTATTACGGATGATGAAGGACCGTATTTTAATTGAAATCCTTGGGGATGAATAAAAATAAAGCCTTTTACCCACCGGTTGGTCTTATAGTTCCAAAGTCTTTTAGTGCTTTGCGATCGTGCTCGGTGCAACCAGCTCACCTGGGTCGACGACGACGAGGTGAAGCTCGCACGATACCTTGCGTGGCCTGAGACTGGCGCATGGTGCAAACGAGAAACGTTGGGCGCCCGCGCTAGCACGCCGAAGGTTTCCAGGTCGACGTCTCCAGCGCCTGATGCAAGACGGTATGTCCCTACGTTCTCCAGCAGTGCATCGCAAGCCTGTGTGCCACTGCTCCGCTTGGAAGCGGCCAACAGAATGCCCTGGCAACCGAGGATGGCAGTAGCATAGCGCTCCTTATCGTCAGGAACGCAGCGCGCCTCGTCGTCGGGAACGCAGCGCTCGTATGCATAGGTGAGGGATTCGTTCTCATTCGACCTCAGGAGCGCAGGTGTATGGCCGACGCTTCCTGCAAACTCGTGATATAGGGACGCCACCTTCTTCCAACGCGCCGTGCCCGCCGAGGGCGTCCGGCGCTCCTTGACCTACCGCAGCGTCGCTCGACCATGTCGCCGAACGCGCAAAAGCAAACTGGCCAACGGCTGACGAGCGCACCTCACTTTCAGCCAATAAAAAAAGGGTCGATCTAAAAGACTGAAAAGACTTGAGTCGCTCCAGGTCCTTTAGACCGACAAAAACCGCGAAAGGCCAACCGGTGCGAGCAAAAGTTTTATTCGAAGTCTGATACGGCAGGACGCAGGAAATCGCACGATGGGTCATGTTCAATGTTTCTGAGCAGAGGCAGGCAACGGTCGACAACCAACGACACGGCACTCTCGCCCTGATGCGGAGCTAGCGCTCTTGCAGACATGTATACGAAGGAAATATATTGATTTGGAGCTCAATGATCGAAGAGCGAGCCAATAGCTTCTTCTCCGTGGTCTTCATCTGATTGAGCCTCGAGGTCCGGTAGATACTGCTGGTGTTGCCGTCGAAGAGGCCTTCCGGGAGGTAAAGCTCGTGGTACTTCTCCCAGCACGTCAGCGTCGTATCTGGGCACATCCACGGCTTTGGGTCGCTTTACTTTTCGACGGTGTGCTCATGCACACGTGAGCAGTAGCACGTGATACTTGTGTCGTTGCGATCTTCAAATCGGCAAATGCAGCACCGACGCTTGTCAGTAGACTTTGTGGAGAGAGCTTTTCCCGAGAAGACTTTGGTGCAGCGCGGCTACTAGTATGGCGTCGTGTCGAAGCGAAACACTCGTTTGGTCTTATGGACAACGGCGTCGACGCGCTGGACTCTTGCGCCACAGGCGTCGGCATAGCGGCCGCCGCAGCTAGGCTTGACATCAGGGTCAAACGTCAAGCTAGTAGCGAGGTTCTCATTATCCACGAAAGACCGAATTGAATTATCGAGGTGTTTGAACTATTCGAGATCGCCTTCTTCTGCCTCCGACTTGAGCTCATCTGTGACGTTGCACTACAACGCCCTGCGGCAAACACATATCCTTCCAAGACGTAGGAGCTGACGCCGAGTCTCTGTGCCTCGGTAGAGCAACTGCCCCCGTACAATGTCGCCATCATTCATCGTGACGGGGTGGCGCTGGAACATGGACGACATCCACACTACGTTGTAGCCTTGCTTGCCACGCGACGCGATGAGGCCGAGCAAAAACGAGGAGCCAACCACGTCAAATGCGGCGGCACTGAACCCTTTCGAGCCGTGCGCTCGCTCGTCGGCCACGCTGAAGGCCATTTTGGTGTTGATCAAGATGTCCCGCTTGGCTGGAGCGCCCGCAGCAGCGCTTGTAGGAGGCACCCCTGGCGCAGAGATGCGTTGAAGAAGAGCCTGCTTCTTTCCAGATGACGGCATGCCAAGCTGTTGGCACTTGCGCTAGAGGGCGTCGACGCTGAGGCCCGAAAGTGGAATCGATTCGATCGCTGCTGGCAAAGGCAACGAGACGTCGGGCGCTGGGACTGCTCCGTTGAGAGGATATGACGAGGGGACGCTTGTAATAGTACCCAAATGGGCAAGGATTTCGGCCTTGTTCAGTTTGTTCTAGCCCATTATATTGCGTTCCTGCCGAACTTGGGCAGCTGAAGGCGCGTGATCTTGTCGAGGGGCAGTGGCTTGCATGGCCGTCACGAGGTCGATAGTGCCAACGCGAAAGAGGGCGGATTTGCCTTGCCGTTCTTTTTCCAAAAATACACTTCTTTTCAAAAAATAAGTAGGGTAAAAAACGGTAGTTGAACCCGTTGTTTGGCAGTATAATCTACTGCGAAGCCTCCAATAGGGTTAGCCCTGAGGTCAATCTTCCTAGCATCTAGATTGCGATTTGCATGTGTATCACAACTACATTCCTTTGATAGCACTAGGTTGAGATACACTGCAACTCATTTTTGTGGCTCCGTCAAACGCCCAGACTTGACGAACACCGTTTCTAGATTGTTGGATTAATGGCCAACGCTGCGACCTATCAGGTCCATTTTGCACGCATCTAGAATGCGATTTGCATGTGTATCACAACTACATTCCCTTGATAGCACTAGGTTGAGATACACTGCAACTCATTTTGTGGCTCCGTCAAACGCCCAGACTTGACGAACACCGTTTCTAGATTGTTGGATTAATGGCCAACGCTGCGACCTATCAGGTCCATTTTGCACGCATCTAGAATGCGATTTGCATGTGTATCACAACTACATTCCATGGATAGCACTCGGTTGAGATATAAGAGAGGTCGTAGAGGAATGCAGAGGTTGCTACAGGCGAGGTAAAGACAGCACACAGACGTTGCAGCGCAAATAGCGTGCGGGCAGGTGGAAAACCTGAGTTTACGATTCAAAAGTGAGGCCCGAGGGCTTTTCCATTGTCGTCACTTGAAAACCTTCATATACGATACATTTACCAAGATACAACCGATCGTTGAAGACTCGATCTGCCCCGGTGTACGGGTGCAGTCTCATACCTCCCCGTCTTCAACGGAGGGCTCTTCTTTGACCTAGTTGCCCGTCTTGTCCGCGTGCTTCTTCTTAGCCCCGTAACGACGTCTCGTTATAGCCGCACGCTTGTGCCCACGTCGCAACGTGGCACCCTGGGCACCGTCCTTCCGCCGCGGCAGAGGAAGCACTTCCACAACCCAACGATCCGCGATCGTTGTTGTGGCCGCCAGCCTCTTGGCTGCGGCGCACGCCTTCTTGCGACTCTTGGCTGCGGCGCGCGTCTTCATCATCATCATCATCATCGACGACGTCGTCATCACCGTTGAGGCAGTCGACATCGTCGGCATCATCTTCATCGCCCGCGTTGAGGGCGTCGAGCTCGTAGCTCGGCTCGGGCTCGAACTGGACCTCGTGACCGGGCATAACACGCTTGGTCGTCGCGCGCGTCGAGCCCTTGTCCGCTTGCGCTTCGGCCAACGCCTCCTTGACGTTAACAATGCAGATCGCACTGCGGAACTCGAGAAACTTGGGGATGGTCACGGCCTTGGTGAAGAGGTCGGCTTGGTTCTGCGCGGATCGACAAGCCGTTCTTCTCCACGTACTCGCGACACACCAGGTGGCGTTCCATGATGTGCTTGGAGCGCTTGTGCGAGCCTGGACGTTGACACAGCGAGATCGCGCCGTGGTTGTCCATGAGCATCGTTGAGTTCGTGTGCAGTAGCGAGCACTCCTCGAGGAGCTGCTCAAGCCACATGACGTCGCGCGCAGCTGTACTGGCCGCGATCGTCTCCGAGTGACACGAGCTTGTACCAACGATGTCTTGCTCGGAGCTCTTGGCCGAGATCGTCTGGCCGTTGAGCTTCGTGACGTAGCCCGCGATCGACTTGTAGTCCTTCGTGTCGTTGGCCCCATCAGATTCGGCCCACGACTCGATCGAGAGGCCTTCGTACGTCCTCGCTTCCTCAATGCTGTACACGAGCCCAAAGTCGAGCGTACCCACGAGGTACCGGACCACGCGCATGGCCATGGCCCAATGCTCGGACGAGTAGCAGTGGAGGTACTTGGACAGCGTGCGCACCGCGTTGCCGAGCTCGAGGCGGGAGCCCGTGACGAGGTACTGCAAGGCACCAACGAGGTTGCGGTACGGGCACGCCGCCTTGTCGAGCTTCGTCTGCGGCTCCGATGCCTCCAAGTCGCACGACATTTCGGCACCGGGCGTCTGCGGCACCAACGACGGGTTCATGTTGATGTTGCCGAACTTGGCGATGATCTCTTGCGTAAACCGACGCTGAGAGAACGCCAGACGCTTGCCGGGACCGTAGTCGATCTCGACACCGAGGAGGTAGCGGACGTCGCCGAGCTGCGTCATCTTGAACTTGGCGAGCAGCGCCTTGATCACCGGCGCTGTGTGCTTGTCGTCGCCGAGGATGAGCAGGTCGTCGACGTAAACCGTAACGAAAACGACATCGCGGTTGCCATTTCCTCCCACAGTTTTCGCGTAGAGGCCGCGATCCTTCTCGTTGCGCTTGAAGCCGAGGCTCACGAGGAACTCGTGCAACATCGAGTTCCACTCGTGAGGCGCTTGGCGCAGACCGTAGATCGTCTTGATGAGCAGGCACACGAGGCGCTGGACGTGCTTGGCAAAGCCTTCTGGCTGCTCCATGTCGACGAGTTGACCCTTCTTGAGCGCAGCGTTGAGAAACGTCGTGACGAAGTCGTACTGGCGCAGCTTCCATCCACGCAAGGCCGCGTAGAGCAGAATCGCGCGCAAGGTCTCGAAGCGGATGACCGGCGCATACGTCTCGTCGTAGTCGAGTCCATAGAAAGATCTGCTCAAAGCCCTTGATCACGAGGCGCCCCTTGTAGCGCAGGTTGCCGTCGCGATCAACCTTGAGCTTGAAGAGCCATCGGCAGTTGAGTACCTTGCGACCGACCGGGCGCTGAACCAAGCGCCACGTACGGTTGGTCATGTGCGAATTGTACTCCTCGAGCATCACTTGACGCCACTTGTCGGCCTCAGGCGACGCGATGGCTTCCTTGTACGACTGCGGCACGTCAAACTCCTTCTCACAGTCGGCAGTGAGAAGCACGGAGCGAGTGGGAGCGCGACGTGCTCTTGCGCGGGCGCTTGACCGGCGACACCGGGAACACGACCTTGGGGCGCTTGCGTCCTCCCACAGCTTCTTGATCGGGTTCGTCTTCGGCGCCAGTAGCGTCATCAGCAGGAGCGTCATCGCCTCCCACAGCATCAGACGCTGGCGTAGCCTTCCCGTCATCCGTGCACACGATACGACGGCGGTCACCAGTCGTCATCGTAGCAGCACGGGCGTCGTCCAACGAGGGACTGACGTCAACGACCGTGTCATCACTGCGCGTGGTCGTCTGCGCAGCGACGGGTCGGGCCGGGTTGACCAACATCTCCATGACCGGTAGCGTACAGAACGGAACCAAAGACGAGATACCACGAATGCTGGGATCAGCAGCGTGTTGCAGCACCTTCTTGACGTAGGCACCCTCGACCGTTTGATCCTCGTAGACGCGCGTACTCGAGCTTGCCGCTTTTGAGGTTGAGGAGTCGATAGCCGCGGGTAGCCTTGTCGTAGCCGAGAAAGAAGGACAGCTGCGCGATCTTCGAGGTGCGACGGTGTTGGCCGAGGAACAACGTTATGACGCACCCAAATGGACGCAGGTGCGTGACGTTTGGCGCCTTGCCCTTGAGCGCCTCGTACGGCGTCTTGCCGACCAGAGGCTTGGTGCCAGTGCGGTTGTACGTGTAGGCGACGTACTTGGCGCACTCGTTCCAGAGCTCGTCCGGCAACCCGGACGCGGCCAGCACCGAGCGGACCTTGTCCATCAAGACATAGTTGAACTTCTCGACGAGCGCGACCTCTTCAGGCGCGTAGCCGTGCGTGAGCTGCTGCGTGATACCACCAGAGCAGAGCTCAGCAATCGTCGAGTTGTGGAACATCTTGTCGTCGTCGCTCGAGATGACGGCGACCTTCTTGTTGAACGCGACCTGGATCGTCTTGACACACGTCACAAGCGTCTTCGTCGCGTCGCCCTTCCGTTCCATCGGGGTGACCCAGACGAAGCGCGTGCCTTCATCGATGATCGCGAGGTAGCACGTGTGTTTGAGCCAAGACACAATGCTCGACACAAAGCCAATGTCGACAATGATCTTGCGAAGCGGGATCGTCGTCGTACGTTCCGGCATAGTGTTGTACGACATGCGCTTCTGCTCGGCGAGCGTGCACGACAAGCACGCAGCAGACGACTTGAGGTCATCACTCGGGAGCCACAAGCCGTCCGCCACACCATCCTTGGCCATGGACTTGATCACGTCCATGCTCGCATGAGCGAAGCGGTTGTGCCAAAGACGGAGCTGGCTGTTCTTGGAACACACCTCATTACCGGTGAAGAGGACTAGCTCGGCCGGTTCGACGTGCGAGCGCACACGGATGCGGTAAAACCCGTCACGAAAGTGAAAGATGAGCTTCATCTCCGTGCTGCGCAGCGTCATGATGAGGTTGTCAGCCAAGAGCGACGCCAAAAGACCATGATCCTCGCGCAGCCGCGTCTGGCTCAAAATGTTGACGCGCGACGACGGATCACAGTGCATCTCGAGGCAAACGTCGACCTCGTCACCGCTCGCGGCGTCGGGAAAAAAAAGCCAGCAAAGCCACGCCGCTGCGTCGACGTGTTGCCGTTGAACCACGTCACAGCATGCTGGTGGCCATCAAATGACTCAAAGACGTGCTCGTGGCGACAAATATGAGCAAGCGCCGCGTTGTCGAGACTAAACTCGATGGCCGAGTCGTCAGACGGGTCACCAACCACGTCACGAGCGTCGACCGAGAGCACCGGAGAGTCAATGTACTGCACGTAGCTGGCGCCGGCGTTCCAACCGGAGCCGCGACCGCCACGTCCGCCGCCACCGCTGCCACGCCGCAATGGGACGGCTGGGACGCCAGCAGCAGCCTGCTGCAGGCTCGGGCAGTCGTTGCGCATGTGACCGACACCGCCACAACCAAAGCACCGAGGACCTTTGGCACCACGACCGCCGTTGCCACCTTGACCTTGACCGCCACGACCACCATGGCCGCCACGGCCACGTCCTCGACTGCGACCACGACCGCCCCGACCGCCGCCAGCAAAGTTAACGGGGATAGCCGTCGACTTGAGCACACCAGTCGTCGACCGAAGGTTGTAATCGGCCTCAAGAGCTTGGTAATACTGCGTCAAGCTCTTGTTGGTCGGGTCGGACAAATGTTGTTCCGTGGACAAGATACCGACGGTCGACTTGAGAATGGCAGCGCGGACAAACTCGTCGGTGGTCTTGTGACCCATACCGGCGAGCGTAGCAACTTGACGCTTGAAAATGGCGAGGAATTCGACCCGCGTTCGAGTAGTCGGATCAAACCGCAAGCGTCGGAGATTGTCGAGCTAGGACTCGAGCACTGCTGGAGCTTCGGCAAACTTGGCGTTGATGTACGCGTACCTTGGCGCTGCCGTGACGTAATCGGCCACCTCGCGCCGCGTCTCATCGTCGAGCGAGTTGACAATGAGCACGCGCGCGGCCGCGTCGTAAGCAGCAAAATGCGCGTAGCCAGCCGGGTCGAGCGTCGCATCCGGCGCCTTTAGAGCGCCAGAAACGAGCGGCAACAAGCCGTTCAGTTCGAGTACCATACGCAGCGACGTACGGTACGACAAGTATTCACCCGGAACCAGCTGGACCGCCTTGCCACGCACCTTAGGCGGCATCGCAGGCACAACGACGGGCGCCGGCGCGCGTTGATCTTGCACAAGGACCGAGACAACGGGCACTTGCGCGGGCTCTTGAATGGGCACGGGAGCTGCCGCCACCACGACCGGATGCCCCGGAGCCCATGGCTCTAGCACCGGCCGTGTCGCAGCTTCTTGTCCAAACACGGGAGCCGCCATCGCTTGCGGACGCCCCGAAGCGCTCTCCGCCGCACCACCATGCACCTCGTGCACGGGCGCGGGAACAGCTGTCGGCGTCGGTAGCAAAGCGATGCGATCGAGACTCGCAATCATAAACTCTTGTGTGCGCGCGACGTTCTCATTGACCATATCGCGCGCAGTCTTGATGTTGTCTTCCGCGAGGACACGCGACTGCGCCGCGTTGGCGTCCAAAGTGAGGCGCACAGACCGCGTGTTCTCGTCGACCATAAGGCGCATGACGGCCGCCACATCCAGATGGCCGAACCCGGAGCGACGCGGCGAGACGATCGGCGACACGAGCTCGCCAGCCGTTTCCTCGAGCGGCGGCAAGTCCGACGTGTCAACCGAGTCGCGCGCCAAGAGCGCTTGCTTGCGCTCGTCCGGCGTCGACTGGGGCTGCGCCGCGACCGACGCCTTGGCCTTGGCCTTCTTGGCCTTCTTCGTGAGCGGCGCGCCGTCGTCGTCGTCCGTGCGTGGCTCCTTCTTGGACGGCGGCACCGCCGGCGTCTCATGGTCGTTGTTTTTCTTCTGCGTCTGCACCATCCGGATGGCGAGAGCAGGCTGTTTCCCCACGCGAGGAGGCGCGTGTCTCCGTCAAACGCCCAGACTTGACGAACACCGTTTCTAGATTGTTGGATTAATGGTCAACGCTGCGACCTATCGAGTCCATTCGTAGCACGTCAT